ATATGGAGAAACACACAGAACAGCAATGCTCATATGTATGAAACTCAAGAAGTTGAATGACCGATTATAAGACACAGTGAAACACTAACATAAATTTTCTCATAGTATCTAAAGCATCATAATGAAAGAAACATAATTATTTGCAAGTTTTGATATACACTCTATGAACAGAATGATTTCATGATTAAAGGCCGTAACAGCCATGGTAGAAATGTTGAATTAAGAAAAAGATATCCTAAAGCAAAGAGTAGCAGAATGGAGTCATTAACATGACTAATCAACTTTACAATAAGGTCTACCTATTTCACATTCAATGGCAAAATCTAAGAACAAATATTTTAACTTCATATAGGATAAATGTCTATACAAACAAATTAGAATTGAATTTCAAGGCGTCACGGCTGCAACCTAGAGTTTTTATGCGATATCTGGATGGATACTTTGCAATTTGGTCGCATGGAAGAAATTAAATTGAGGATTTTCTGATTTTTATAATCATATTGATAGAAGATTCAAGTTCACAATGGATGTAGAGAAAGAGAAGCGTTTAGCTTTCCTAGATAGGTAAGTTATTCGCTTTAATGGGACACTCAAGAGAAAATTGTTCCGACAGAAGTCATATGCCGAAATAATACTCAATTTACAGTCTCATCACAAGTACACGCTAAAGATAAGAATAATGAGGAGCATGATCTCCAGAAGCCTCCGATTAACTGATATGGAATTCTGGTATGCCGAATTATAAAATTGACTCTCTTATCCCTCATTAACCGATATGCAGATGAATTAATTACAAAAAATGCTGGCCTTTATCAGCCGATGGCAGGATGGGGACTATGAAACCAAGGCAAAGATGAAGAAAATCTCGCAAAAGAGGATAATCATCCCTTCCTGCGAAATGTGTCAAATGTTTGGGAGAATATTAAGAAACTGCAATATTCAGGTGTTCACGAGGGTGAAAATCACACTTTTCACAAGTCTAACAACACAACATAAGAGGGTCGACATATTGGATTGTTCGGGAGTTTGCAGCATAGCATGTGGCGCCTGTTTACAGAAATATATTGGGGGGTCAGGTATAAAAATCAGCAAAGGAATCAAGGGGCATCATAGGGTCTGAAGGAAAATGGATACTGAAGGATCAGATAGAGTGGAATATATCGCACAGACTAGGAAAGCAACATAAAAGAAGGGCCTCATATGTGTAAAGACATAAAGAAACGGAAGATTAGGAAAGCCATTAGCATCCTATCGGAAAAATTTTTAAAAAATATGATATTTGATGAAGGCTGAATTAGTGATAGCTTTGACTATTGTCTAAAAAAGCTCAAAGAATATAAGGATACGATAAGACAAGCATAAAGGAGACGCCTGGATCTAGGGCCTTTCCTAAACCATGTTGAAATGGATAACAAAGAAGACAAGGGTAAGAAAGTTTAGGAAATAAAGCTATGATGTTCTCAGTGGTTATAGTCTGCTCAAATAAACAACTACAAATTTGGAGGCCTGACGGGTACATGAATAGGGAGACGGATAATGACAACCGTGCCAGAAATTAAGCATTATAGCCAAAGTGACAAAGAATCCACTCGAGAGGTAGCAGGCGATCAGTGTTAGAGGTACACAGTTGCTCGGAATACACGGATTTAATCAAGGAGATGACTCGTGAAGGTAATGCCTAATATTCACAAGCAAGGGAATCAGAGATTATGCGGTCTGCAGTTAAGGCGATAATGTACGTGATACTGTAGGCTTGGAGTCAAAAGTACATTGGGGCTGGAAGCGAGTGAAATCGGTCAACCAGAGAGACAATAATTTGATCTAAGGGACTATAAATATGATAGAGAAAGGAGGCCCGATTTGAATTAACCGATCGAAAGAGAAGGGGGTAAGACAAAAACAGGAGCGATAGGACAAACTAAATTTTCCAACAAACTGCACAGATTTAAAAGAATGGAACGAAAACAAGTCAGAAGTTGGAGTTGGATAAGAATGTAGGGAGTAGAGAGATTGGCCAGGACAGAAAGATGAGTGATAGCACAAACGTTTCAGCAGAAAGTTGGTCAAGGGATTGATTTCACATGTCTCTTTGACGAGTTGTAGCTTGGTGCTGGTAATGGCAAGACTCGCTGATGATCCCGACTACAATGCCGGTGAGAGCCCTGATAATGTAGCAAGTCTACAGTATGAAGCTAGGAATTATGATAACTACTATGGCAGAGGATTTCGGGT